GCTCCAAAAGCCTGTGATTTCAAATAAACCTATTGGACTATAGCCTGGTGTCATGTGACTTCTGACTTTGTCCACCCCAGTCTAATACTGGCACCTCCACATCATGATTTTTTTTGTGTCTTAGAGGAATGTACATTTGTTGAATATTATCAAATACCTCTTCAAAGACCAGACAGTGCCTGTCTACTGTCAAATCCTTTTCGTGTATTATCCCAACCTACCACAGCCAACTTCTGTCTTATGCTTAATAGCTTAATCACAAAATTCTGAGGATTCTGGCAATTTAAAACAAACAGAAAATTCTGGAGCATGTATGGCAACATTTGTGGAGAGAGAAAGAGTCTTCTTTAGAACTGAAAGTTTTTGGAAAATTATTTTTATATTGTTTTGACAGTGACAGAGGAGGAGTGTGGGGATAAATGGTGTCGAAGTCCAGTGTAAAAAACAATGGGGAAGGGGTTGTTAATAGTGATGTAAGATAAAAATAGATGCAAAATAGGTGTAAATTAAGATATGAAAGGGAGATGTATTTGCAGGGGGATAGTAATCAGTTGAGGAAAAAGGAGGTCATGTTGGAGGCAGCCAGTGGAAGATGGCATCATCAGTACAGATGTGGCAGAGATGGAGAAACTGGGAGAATGGAGTAGAATCCTTGCAAGAAGAAGTGTGTGGAGAGGTGCAGTTGATCTTCAGTTTCCTTCGTTAAACTTAAGCCACTAGTTTCAGAATAAAGGATATCACTTTCAAACTTAATATAAAATTCTATCATATTACAGTTACTACTTCCCAAAGGCTTATCAAGTAACCCTCTCTCATCAATTAATACTAATTCTAAACTAGTCCAATCCCTAATATGCTCCAGAAACCCATCTCATACACACTTCAGGAATTCGTCCTCCACAGTATGCTGGTTAGGCTTACCCAGTTTATATGTAACCTATTACGATATTAATCATGTCACATGCATCTCTGATTTTTATTGTGCCAAGATCACCAATACCAGATAATGGCTTATAGACATGTGCAACCAATGTTTTCTGCTCCTTGTTGTCTCTCAGCTCCATTGAAACTGGTTCTACATTTTGATTCTTCAATCTAAGATACTTTTTCACGAATGTATTGATCACATCCCTTATTCCAAGCGCAAAGTAATCTCCTTTGCCTTTGTGCCTATCATTCTTAATTACAAATATCCTTGAATATTCTGTTCCCAGTCTTGGTCACCCTGTAACCACATCTTATAATAGCAATTAAATTATACCCTTTAACTCTATTTGTACCTAAGAGCTAATTTGAAACTTTTATGCAGTTTCTTACTGTTTCTTCTGTTTACTTCACCCTGTTTAGACCTTCTTAGACATTTGGATGTGTTCTAATGTTCCAATGCTTCAAGCTTATTGTCCCCATGTTGATATAGAAATATATATAAATATTTTGCTTTATTGGGTATTAATCACATTCAGCCAGGTAAAGTAAAAATATCTCTAACATGCCAACATTAATATATTTCCATTGGAACAACAATGTTTTATCTGATGGAAAATCAAATTTCCCTTTCCTACAAGAACTTCAAAGCTGAAACTATGCAGAACAGACATGACAAGATACCATACCAAACACCACTAAATTTACTTCTGGAAAATTTAAATGAAATCAACACATATTAATACATGAACAAACGAGTTAGGGTACTTTTAAACATTCATAATGGGGCTGCCTTATACATCGAACTACCACTGTGCATCGTTACAGAGGTCTAGATTCGAGTCTGAACTGAGACCAATCAAATAAATTCTTTAGTTGATTTTAACAGGCCGACATTAAACCAATATGAACAGTCAGAGCTCACTCCTGCTGGGAATAGTTCAAAAGCACAAAGTGCCAAAGAATCTGCAATAAATTGATAATCTGACTCTGAGGAATACTGTGGGCAATTTGTCTGATAAACTAAGCAAGTCACATTGGTACAGTAGCTCCGCATCTTCTGAGATTAAGGTTAAGGTGGATTGTTTTGAGCAAGTGGAGGGGGCTTGTTTCTGTATGAAATACATATGTTCTAGAAGTGATGGGAAAAAATCATTTAGTTCCTAGACTAACATCTCCCACCTTGAGATGCACAAAGTTTCCCACTCTAATTTGAAAATAAACGATGAATAATTAGGCTGATTACTTCTCTTTTATCAAAAAATAGTGTGTTACAACAATATTTTAATTTTCATCCAAGGGATTTGAACATTGCTGGATAATTCTTATTGAATCACTGAAGTCCATCTAATGTAGGTATACCTGAGAGTGCTGTTATTGAACTCCAGGACTTTGTCTCAGTGAAACTGAAGAAACTGCGATATAGTTCCAAGTCAGGAAGATGTGTGGCTCAAGGGGGAAGCTGCAGGTAATACTACTCTCACATCTCTGATGCTCTTGTCCTTCTTGGTCATACGGTTTGCAGGTTTAGAAGGTGTTGTGGAAGGGACATTGGTAATTTGCTGCAGTGCACTTTGTTTATTGTAGACACTGCTACCACTTTGCATTGGTGGTGGAGAGAATAAATGTTTAAGGTGCTGTATGAGCTGCCAATCCAGCAGTCTACCTTGTCCTGGATGGTGTTGAGCCTCTTGCGTCTTTTTGAGGCTGTAGTTCTGAACGTGGACAAATTTTGGGGAGTTGAGTGTTAAATTGCCCACTGCACATTCCAACCCTAGACTGGCTAGGCCAGTTAGATTTGTGTCAATGGTAACCTGCACGATGTTTGTGGTAAGACCACTGAATGTCATGTAAATCCTAGATTCTGTCTTGCTGGCGTTAGTCATTGCTTGATAGTTGTGTAGCTTTCAGCTCAAACTTGGACGTTGTCCAGGCCTTCCTGTATATGGACAGGGACTGCTTCACTACGTGAGGAGTCAAGAATGATGTTGAACATTGTGTAATCATTAGAGAAAATTCCCACAACCTATTTTTGTTTTGGCAGGATGGGGGGGAGGAGGGGGTGCAATGGTTATTGATGAAGAAGTTTAAGTTTGTTGGTCTGGGGGCACTAGCCTGAGGAACTTCAGCAGGTATGCCCTAAAATTGAAATCACTGACCTACAACAATGCCCATCTTCCTCTGCATTTGGAATGACTTCAATCAGTTGAATGTTTTCCCTGATTTCCATTTACTTCAATTTTGCGAGTGTTCATTGATGCCAAACTCAGTGAAATGCTACCTTGATGTCATGGGCAGTCACTCTCACTTCACGTCTGGAGTTCAACTCATTGGTTCAGATTTGGACCAAGACTGTAATGGGGTCAGGAGCTTAGTGGCCCTGGTGGAACCCAAACTAAGCATCAGTGAGCAGGTTATTGCTGTGTAAGTGCTGCTTGATAGCACTGTTGATGATAGTGATGAACTGCTTGAAGTACTAAGATAATTTGTGTAATCCTAACAGACCATTCCACAGATTTATACCATCAACATTAGCCAGTGAAGCAAAAACAATTTAAATGCCAATTTAAATCATTGAACTGTTAGGTCAGTGTGTTGAAACGTAGGTCTGCAAATGCATTGCTGTGTGCACCCATTCACAAGAGGATATCATTGGTTACAATGAGCTAAAACAAATATGTTAAAGTGGAATGGGATATAGAACAATAATAACATGCATTTACATAGTACCATTCATGTAGTAAAAATAACGACACTTTACAAAAAGATAATTAGAAAAAATAAGCATCAAACCAAAGAAGGACAATTAGAACAGTAGTGGTTAGTTTCAGAATTGCTTCAAAGGAGGTGAGAAGGGTGTAGAGGTTTAGGGAGGGAAATCCAGAGTGTACGGCTTAGACTGCTGAAGGGAAACCCAACAATGGAGGTGGGTATACAAAGTCAAGAGTGCACAAGGCTGTGCACTGTCGGAAGAAGTCTTTCATTGACCAGGGAGGGGGTATCTCACATTTACTAAGAAGTCGGTCGTTTATGTGGAGTTGGCATTGACAAGCATATCTCACATTGACTGGGGTGTCTCACTCTGCCTCTCACAGACTGGGTGAGGCTACACCAAATGAATAGTCTCACTTGAGAGCTGGGGGCTCATAACAACTTGCGTTGTGGTGGGGGGAGGTCTCTCTCATTAACAGTGGGAGTTCACACTGACTGGAAGAATCTCAAATGCCTGAAGGGTGTTTCAGTGATATAAGGATACACAAACTGAATTGGCATTAGATCTCAAACAAATTAGAGCTCCCATATTGATTGAGAGTCTCTTATTCACTGGGGACTCATAGTAATACGCCAGTTTTATAGTGAATAGGGTGACCTCACAATGACCAGGTACCCAATGACTTTAAGGGATCTCATACTTGCTAGTAAGTTTCACAATGATGCAAAGGTTTCATCCTGACAAAGGGATCTTACACTTGGACCAGTCTCTGACTGGAAGGGATCTCACAGACTGGAAGGGACTCATTGCACTCAAAGGTCTCTGATTAATGAGTAAGGGTGTCTCACTTAATGCAGTCTGTCTCATATCAATGCTGGATGCCTTAAAATGATAGTGGGGATCTATCACTGAGTAGGGGTCAATGTCCCAAACTGATTTGAAGATACGCACTGGCTTAATAAGTGTCTGACATTGACTGCAGAAATGGTCATTGATTATTGGTGTGGAAGCTCACAGGAGCTCAGGTAGTTTTTTATTTATTGAGGAGTTCACAGCGACTTGAGCAGCAATCATTGACAGTGGGGAAAGAGTTTAAAACTCTCAATGGAAATGAGACTTCCCATTGCTTCTCTGAACTGTACAGTAGTATTGGTTCAGACACTAGAGTTAACCTGGCCAATTTTGCTGCACAAAGGAAACATGCCAAAACAGACACGGCAATATACCAGATCCTACGCCCAGTCATATTATCTTATGAAAATATTTCCTTTTGATTAATTAATACCATAAGAATCATGTTTGAGATATGTCAAAAAATATCATGCACAGACAGGCATTGTCATATTATGCATAATACATTCACCTTGGTTTTGGAAAGGAGAGAGGATTAGCATTCTATATTCAGATCATATGTTTTCAACATCTGCAAACCGAACAAGATAAACATAAATACATATTATATTGTCATATATCCATTTGCTGCCAAACACAGTAAAGGCACCACAAATAAATGGTGCTCTGCTTACAACACTAGTCACCAGATTTTAAGCACTGAAGTTTTACTTGAAATGTTAAACAGGAAGTAACTTATGTCTCTCACATATACTATTAAAGACTACAACATGAAAGACTTAGCAAATGACGCTGTACTGGATTTATCTGAGTTTTTATAAATTTACTTCTGATATATTTTATTTTACTATAGTAAAGGTGTTCTCTTGGACATATGTATTCAGTTTTGTCAATTATACACTAGCCATGAGAAGAAATTAATTGATTTAACCTGAGCTATTACTTGACTGAAGGAGACCACGTGCCCTTACTTTTATTTGATGCCACATCCTATTGAATCCATCCAAAATAGAAATGATGTATTTATGCTCAAAAAAATCTTCCAAAAGTATCAAGTTACCATGATGTTTATTCTGTGTCTATAACCAAACCTACATTGAAAATATTCCAATTAATCCTGACAAGTACCATTACTGTTAAATTTGGGTATATTGAATCTACTGCTGAAACATGATGTTGATTTGGCAGAATTGTGCTCTGTATGACCATAGGCTTACAAAGAAGCAACAAGAAAAATAATTTTATAAATGTGCTAAGGAGTCAAATATAATTATTTTAAGTTGTGATGTGGAGGTGCCAGTGTTCGACTGAGGTGGACAAGTTCAGAAATCACACGACACCAGGTTATAGTCCAATAGGTTTATTTGAAAACACAAGCTTTCGGAGTGAGGCTTCGAAAGCTTGTGTTTTCAATAAACCTGTTGGACTATAACCTAGTGTTGTGAGATTTTAAGTGGTGCCAATTAGCTACCGACAATGCAACAATTCTGAACTCTTTCATATTTGCCAACTGTCTTCTAACCTAAGATATCAATCGTAAACTCAAAATTTGTGAAAATATTCATCATCTATTTGCATGAGAGTGTTTCTTAAGTAATGATTACGTAAATCCATTCATTAACTTCTTTAAATAGGTATAACTATTCTTCTATATAATGAAATAATTGTCCCGTTGCTGCTAGTGGGACAATGGTTGAGTGTAAATCGACTGCTGCTGTCTCTACATTGCACAAATGACTGCATTTCAAAAAGTGCTTCATTGACTCCACAGCGCTTTGGAAGATCCTAATATTGTATATGATACTATATAAATGCAGATGTAGCTATTTATAATGGTTTGCTATGCTATTTTCATTCCTCACATAATTACTGAAAATGCCTTATGCAGCAATTCAGAAATTGAATTATCATTGTGAGATTTAAACTTTTAAAAACAGTCTAATTCAATCACTTGAATACTTGAAAGTACATTGAGTGCCCCACAAGTAAATCCAAAGGATATTGACTCTAAGGTAAATTTGTTCACGTGATAACAATTTCGGCTACCAGCAAATCTTATCTTTTAAATCTTGCAAACAAGTTGGCGTGTGGTAGTTAAGGAATATTTCATGGCTAACTTCCCCATTCACCAACAGAAGAGTATCACAGAATTACTGTGCAACAATAATCAAAGCATTTTGAGATAAGAATGGAAAATTGATCTATTTTTCAATGTAAAAAGCCTTATGACTTATTCTTACTCATAAGTCATATTGCACAAAATGAGAATATTTCTGTAAATTAAAGCCGGATCCAACGTAAACATTTAGCTCTTCCAAGCAAACATTTCAATCAAACGACCGCATTTACAGGACGATAACTTTCACCTTTTCACAAAAATCAACATCACCATTTGCAGATGCATTCCTACTGTCAATTGACAAGTGCAAACAACTTAAAGTGAGAATTGTAATTATGAATATCAGTGAAAAAGAGATCGCAAAGCTGCTGATTTACTGTAAAACCCCAAGTAGTTCACTTCAGTCCCTTAAGGAAGAAAAACAGCTGCCTTTATCCAGTGTGACATGTATGTGACCCCAGCCCTACCCATTGAGGTTGGCTCTGAACTGCAATTTAAAGTGGCAAAGAAGCCACCTATCAGTACCACTAGCCTACCAGAGCAAATAGGCATTGAGAACAATCCCTTGCAGTTATGCTTGAGTCTCTGGAGGTAATAATAAAAAATTGTGGTTGACTTCACCACTAAAGAAGTGCTTTCAAATGTTAGATGTGACAGGTAGCCAATGAAATTTGTCTGAACCACACAAGCCAGATTAATTGTAAATCACGATTAGAAACATTCAATGTAAATGCATGTGCTTATGTAGCAACACATTGCTGCCATAAATATAGCTAGGTAAATATAACATTTGCTCTTACTTATTTGTGATGCACAAAGGTAATGTTCTTTTGTGATAATCAAAACAACATTTCCTCAGCAGTGACCATGGTTTAAGCATTTCTAAAAGTATGTGTATGATGCAGTTATGCAAATTATTACAAAATTAAATATTTTTATCATAACATGAGAAAATATCACTGCGCTGAATAGTTAATGTCATTCATTCATACTTAAAATTAGGCATAATTTTAGTGTGTTTTCCCCCCCCCACAATATCACTATGCATTGTTACCTTGCATTCTTTCAATGAAACCATGACATGTTCTGTGGATGTATGAAAGTGTAACTGACTTGTGGAAGCTTTTATCGTTAGCAACAACGGAACGGATATAATCGACTGCATTTAGCAATCAAGGGACTGAAAGAAAAAGCTTTTGGCTAAACATTGGACTCGTGCTTATGTTGGATACTCGAGTTCCCTAGTTCGGTGCTTCAAGGGTCCAATTTCTGCCGTACACAATACGACTTTAGTCATTAATCCCGCTGAAGATCAATAATGGAGTCAATACACTTAACGCGAGGGAACGCGTTATATCATGAATGTATTGACTCACGATCGATGTCAAGTGCACAGAACGTAATACCCAACCCTAAAAGACGCAAGGCACAATGTGGTCAATAACTTGCAAAAAGCAACAGGTCCCACGCAACTGAAGCATGAATGAGAGATAACAAGGTGCAGAGCTGGATGAACACAGCAGGCCAGGCAGCATCAGAGGAGCAGGAAGGCTGACGTTTCGGGCGTAGACCCTTCTTCAGAAAT